TGTAGACTTTTTCTGTGCTGATTTTGTTAGGAAGGAAGGAAGGAAGGAAGGAAGGAAGGAAGGAAGGATTTGTGTGTGTGTGTGTGTGTATGTATATATATATATATATATATATGTGTGTGTGTGTGTATATATAATTTAACCACTATGATCTCTTAAAATACAAGCTAAAAAGATGAATAGCAAAAGTAATCCAATTAGCATAAATAAAAAAGTTAAAATTAAATTAAAATAAAGTGGTATTCCTAAAGAGATCCCCAGCTCAAACATTAATTTTGTTCTTGTTTTTTTCACACAAACTTTGGGGAAAAAATATTTTTGGCACTCAGACAGGTATGTTCTATGTAGGCTAAATGTTATGACAAGGAAATGAGATACATTTCTAGTTTCAACAATATTTGTGCTTCAGGAATTCCCCTTTAACAGTAAAAGTATCAGCTGTATGCAAACTGCAAAGTGGCCGAAATTTGTTTTTTGACCACTGAAAATATGCAACAATGTACTCTTACTTACAGCCACATTGAGACCCCCATATCTCTGGGATTGAACCTTATTGGGCCTTAGATACTGTACCAAAATAAATGTTTAGTAAGCAAAAAACTAATATAATTTTAAGATATCTTAAATTCTTCTTGGGCTCACAAAAAGTGGCATTGCCAACATTGGCATACAATGCAACAAAGATAGCTAAAGTCAACAGTTTTTACTAGTAGACCTACCAATCTATGAGTAAAAAAAAAATGATGCTGTCATTTTTGTAACGCAATTCTTCAAGTAAATATTCATTCATAACATTTGGTATTTTGACTTTTGTTTGCCTTTCTTCAGAAAAAATTAACAACAACATTAAAAAAAAAAAGACTCGGGAAGTTTTCAAAATTTGGTTGATTTGACGGATTGACCTCCAAAAGGAAGGATGGAAGGAAGATTTTTGAAGACAGAGTGTGATGGAGTGGGTCACGTTTAATTTAAAATATATAGTATATATATTAGGGATGCACCGATATGAACATTTTGGCCGATACCGATAATTCTTTATATTTGAAAGCCGATAACCGATATATCGGCCGATAAACTTAAATCCAAATTTGTATCTAATTTTGAGAGCCTGATTACAAAAACAAAAGTCTCACAATTAAATCCATGTCCATGGTATAGTGTTGTATAGCCGATATGACAGATTTGTGCTGCACATGTTGTACCGAACCGTATTTTAATTTTTTGAAGAGATTTCAATCATATTTCAAGAAATTCAAAAACATAAACAGTGCTCAATAAGTGTCTCAGCTGAAGGGAATAATACATTATTTATCGGCTTTAATATATCAGCCACATTTTCTTACCAGGCCGACAACGATAACATTAAAAATGAACATACATCGGCCGATACCGATATGCTGGCCGATATATCATGCATCCCTATATATATATATATATATATATATATACATATGTCTTTACAAATGGACCTCTTTCTTGTCAGGCCTTAAAATGTATAATACATAATTATTTATCGCTTCCGTGTAGCCATGTGAACTGGAATTATTTTGACAACGTAATTTTCACGAATGAAAAGCTACAAACTCCATCAATTAGGGTTAGAAGAACGGCTGCCAAACATATAACATGATAGAAACATAATAATCACTGCAATAATGATCCAGTCATAGACTCTTAAGAAGCATTTGCCTATTTAAACCCAAACAGATTTTTTTGACCGGCCATAATAATACAGTTTGTGGTGTCAAAAATTATTTAAATGGAGTATCGATGACAAATATTACCTTCCAAAGGAATGATGGCAGCCACAGGAGTGAGATCCACTACTGTATAGCTGCTCTGAGTGATGCATTTATCCAGTTCAATAAGACGCTCTTGAGAACACTGGGTCATCCCATGATCGCTAGTGATGATGACATTTATTTTCCCCCATAATCCTGTTTTGTTGAGGTGCTCTATCAGAAAACCTATGTGACCATCCACCTCGGTCAAAGCCTTGGCCATCTCAGTGGTGTTCTCCGGGCCATACTTGTGGCCACTCCAGTCGGGTTCTTCCCAGTACAGAGAGGCAAACTTAACAGATCTGTCCTCCGTCATCCACTGTGTGAGGTTTCCCAGCCTTGCTTGGAAGCTCACCTTTGAGTCGTATTTAAATGTGTATTTTAACGTGTGGTTATGAATATTCACATCTGTTCCTGGCCACATAGCAGACGCTGCCCTGTAGCCATTCTCCTCCACCGACAACCAGATGGGAATGGCTTCGTCCCACCAGAAAGGGTCACTGTCATTTTGAATAGAGAAATGCTTTTTTGACACTGGGTCATACATAATACTGGCAAGCATCCCGTGGCTCTCCGCGTACAGCCCTGTGACGAGACTGTAATGATTGGGAAAGGTTTTGGTGGTGAACACATTGGTTAGCTCACGTACAAGGACGCCATCGGAGAAGAACTTTTCCAGATTGGGAAAAGGGTATTTGTTTAGATAGTCTGCGCGAAAGCCATCGAAAGACACCAGGAGGAGTGCCGGCGCTTCACTGCCATTTTCTAGCGCTGAAAGGGTTAATCCACAACAGGCGACGAGAGCGTAGAGATAAACGCTGATCTGCATCCTGTGGCTGGGGATGTGGAAGTCACTTTCTGCACTGTGAATATACAAAAGCAAGTTATAACAGACAGACTATCTTTTGTGTAAGTCCCATAATTACCTGACTTTTTTTTTTTTTTTACCCACAAGCCCTCCCTCCAACAAACGCTCTTTTCAGCAGTCTACAATGTAATTTAACTTGTGACTGTTACAAACCATTACCAACCCACCCTGAACTTTACTGACTGCACATATACAGCGCATGCAACACTTGCACATCATCTCCAAAAAAATGAATAAATATTTTATTTATTATTATTTTATTTATAATAATATTTTATAATAATATTTATTTATAAATATCGTATTTATTAATATTTAAATTAATAAATATTAGGGTTAGTAATGGTGCTGTGACAACTAATCAATAAAATTGATAATGAAAATAATTGAACATAATGTTTAATTGCGCATAGTCTACATAGATGCATTCACTGTATTTGTTGTCTTTAAGTTGCACGCCGTTCGGACAAAGGACAGGTTTTGGTAAAATATCATACATTTATTCAAATTAATTATTTTCTAAGAATATTATTTGTAATACATATTTATTTTTAATCTGATTTATTGATTAATCAAAGAAATAACCAACAGATTAATCGATTGACAAAATAATAACAATTAAAACATTTATTTTATTCGTTTTTACATCCAAAGTTAATTGACTAGCCAAGAGTTGTGTTAAAGTCTAGTGTTGTCAAACCATTACACAATCTATATTAAAACCTACTTTATTTCTGGATATGTGATTTCACAATTTCCAGCCATCAAAAGTGCTAAAAGTGCTTATGAAATCCCCAAATTTAAAATTAGAATATCATGAAAAGATTTTTAAAGCTGTAAGCCATATAATCATCAAAATTATAACAAATAAAGGCATGAAATATCTCACTTTGCATGTAATGAGTCTATATAATATATAGTTTCACCCTTTAAGTTGAATTACTGAAATCAATTAACTTTTGCACGAAATTCTAATTTTTCAAGTTTCACCTGTTTATGATAAGGTGTGCAAATATCATAGACTGTAAAAAAATATGCTAAAGTGCAGATGCTCATGTAAACAATGAGAGTGTGTATAGAATATGTAGAACTTCTAAGTAATTTCTGTGTTTAACTTCTATGAAATTGAGGCTATTGTGTGTTTATGTAAAAAGGAAGTGATACAGGAAGCGCCAGAGGACAAAACGTGGTTGTAAAAATAAATACTAATGTTGAGCAGGTGCATAACAAACAGAGTCCTGGATCAAACTTACTGGAGCTGATCAATAATCAATACAGGCCTGATTAAAACTCATTTATAATATAATATAAATCTGTCGGTCCTTTCGATGGAAAATAGTTAAAAAAATAAACTACAAAAAAGAGCAAACAACAAGGAAAAAATTGACAGTCTTGCACTGAATGCCGATGATCACATTACTGATTTTGACCTATGATTTTGACCACAAGATTACATTTTTTGGCCAAACTTAGCTATCAAGGAAGCCGAAAAGGACGAAACATAACATACCTTTTGACCCAGGACGTTAGAAAGCGTTTCTATCAACTCCAGTCACATTAAACTCTTCGATGATGTCGAGTTGTTTTATAAAGTCAGATTATGTTCTGGACTTGATGCAGTTTATTTCTTGCGCTTCCTCAAACACAATGCCCACATGACGTCATCGCATGACTGACAGATCCATCAGCCAATGAAATCGAGGGACGTCCCACTGCAGGTGCTCTTCGCTCTCAGCACAGTTTTGAGCACAAATAACGTTAAAAATTATGCATCCATTAAATTTGTCTTAAATTGTAATTATTCAAAATAATCTTTCTCTTTCAAAAGTAAAATTATCGTATTTTTAGCTTTTGGATAAACACATAAACAAAAATCACACTAAAATTTTGAAAAAAAAAGTGTGTGTCATTTGACTTTTGACTTTCAAAAAGACTTTCAAAACAAACCTAGCGCTTGTGTTGCTTTAGTACAGCTGATAATTGCGCACTTAAAAAAAAACGCGTCCTGTAAAAACATCAAGGCGCGTTCGCTGACAGAAACGTGTTGAACCGCTAAAGTGGTGATTGCGTTTACATTGGTTGTGTTTCAGGACGCAAAAACATAGGAACATTCATTTCTTGTCTGTATGGTATGGATGGACGCCCTGCGTTTGACGCACAAAACGTTCCTATGTGACGCGACGCTCTCAATGCAAGCGATGGAATCCCGACGCCGACCAATCATAGCGCTCGTATGCGCGACGCGTCTGTCTGAACTGACATCAGCATCCAGGTGACCAATGAAAGACCTCGTTTACGCGACGCGGCACGTTCGCGTTTATTTGCAGTAGATGGGGTTTGACTCACTCACTAAACGCGGTTTGGTGAAGGTAGGTTGTTATTCCAACATTTTTGTTCCTCATATCTCCATAATAACATAACGGGGGATCACTAGTGGTCTTTACGAGCGCTGTTATTGAAACGCAGTTCTAAATGTGTATTTTTCTCTCCTCAATGTTTCCTGTTATTGGATTTGTAGAAATGTCGTCACGGCTGCATTCGAGCTTTTCACCCTGTAAGTAAATGGGTTAAAGTTTTTTGAGAGATCTGTGTATGAATTAAGGGTGTTCTTTGAACTAAAGGGATCTTTCACGAGGTTTCTTCCTAAACTACACACATCAGGTGCAGGTTAGTTATTCTTTCCACCTGGTTTGAATCAAAGTGCCATAGAAACAGAGAGAGAAAGCCTTCCATTTTGTCACTGTCAAGTGCACTCTGTATTATTTGTATGTTGTTGTTGTTTTTTTTTTAATGAAAAACATTGTTTAAAAAAAGTTATTTTATTATAATGAAATGTTATTTTTTAAACAAATAATATTTACATCGCTCAATTATGATATTTAAAATATTTTTATAATTAAAATATTTTTCTCCCCATAATGCTACTGCCGTACTCTGAATTGATGTATATTTTTTATAAATTAAAAAATAATATATATATATATATATATATTTAATAATTAATGTAAAAAAAGTTAATTATTAAAATATTATAAAATAGTACTATTAAAAGTTATTTTTATATTTTAAATATTCAAATTTGCCCATAAAATAGTTAATTAAAGGTGTTTTTGTTACACTGGATTTATACATTCATGTACTGAGTAATAATTTAGTTTGGTCATTTATAGTTATTACTATAGTAAGTAACATAGAACATATAACAATGACACTGTAAAATAAAGTGCTCCCAAATTAATAATTTATTTATTTTATAAATATATGTATTATAATATTTTAATATGTATCTATCATTTTTTTTTAATTTGGTATGAATTGTGAACTAGGCACTTTCGTTTTCATGAGATTCCCTCATCTGAGTGGTTTTGGCATCATGAAAAGTGTTCTCATTATACGCCAAAAACACAGATCTTCTTTTTGATGGACAGCATCCCGTTGCTCAGCGTAATAGTGACTTTTCTATGAACCAGGTCATCGGAAAAACACTGAGCAACGGGAAGCGTTTTGTGGCCATTCCATCCATTCCATTTTCCACATTTTGTTAGCCAACTTTTTCACCAGTCGGACCTCCAAGCATCATGAATTCCTAATATAGTGAGTTCCATAAAGTCACACAGCTTTGTGAAAAGTCTGCACTATTAAAGGACCAGGACAGCCCGTGCACAATGTGATGCTATGAGATGATATGATAAAAGCTTAAGAGCCAGTTTTGGAGTTTGTTTGGTGAAGTGTGCGACTGTGCGTGCTCTGGTTGATGACGAGAACTAGGATTGCTGAGAGACGGCGGGACTCGAGGGGTTCCCAGTTTAGCAGGCGTCAGCTGCTGTGTCCTAGTTCCATTGCTCAACCTCAACCACAGGAATATGGAGTCCAGCAGACTGGGACTGATATCATAAACAATCTGCTTAGAGACATATATGTGAAGTATTAGATCTTTTATGATGTGTGATCATTAAAACTTCAGTCCCTCAATCTGGGACAAACCGTTCTGCTTGTCAAGAATTTCTAAAAGAATGCTAATGTAATTTGATCATTATTTGGAACCAATCCTAAAATGACCCTTAAGTGATACTGTCGCTAGAGGCACACTGAATGAAAATGGTGTTGGATTTACTTTTAAACAATTTTCACTCAGAAATTACTAGTACATTTTTTACAAATAATTTCAAAGAAATAGCAAGTTACATGAAATTTTGGAGTAGAAAAACTGGAAGAATGTTTTCTTGTTAAATGACGGCAAAAATGATTTTTGAGTTTTGTCTTGTTATCGAAACATTCAACAAATCAAGATACATTTAGAAGAAAAATGACTTGAGATATCAAGGCTTGTTTTCTGTAAAAAGTATCACAATGAAGCGAGTTTATTCTTAAATCAAGAAAGAAGAAATATCTGAAAAATAAACTTAATTCAAAGGAAAAACAAGATTATTTAAGAAAACAAGACTTAAAAGGTCATTTTGCTTCTCAAGACAATTCTGTCATCATTTCCTCACTCTCAAGTTTCAAATCTCTATGATTACCAAACCAAACAGTTGATGGACTTCTAGTATTTGTTTTCCCCCGTACTATAAAAAAGTCAATGGGGTCCATGCATGGGTTCTTCAAAATATATATATTTTTAACGTTCAACAGAAGAAAGAAACTCATAGAGGTTAGGAACAACTTAGGGGTAAGTAAATGATGACAGAATTTTAATATTTTGGTAAACTATCCCTTGATGAAGATGGAAAACAAGACAAAAACTTGACAAGACACTTTTATATATATATATATATATATATAGTTCAGATGGAAAAGTGCCATTTGAAATTTTCTTCTAGAATGATCATTTTTATCAAGCTTGTATATTTAAGTTGAGTAATTTAACTTAAATGACAAGTAATAAGTAATCTTCATTGCCATTTAAGTGAAATTACTGAACTTGAAATATACAAGCTTGATCAAAATTCTCATTCTAGAAGAAAATTTCAAATGACTCTTAGAGGCTTTTGCATCTCAACTCTTCACACACACACACATATATATATATATATATATATATATATATACATAGACAAACACACACATACACATATGTGTGTGTTTATGTTGGAATCTCCTGATCATAAAGAAGTAATTGCACAATATAATTGTTCAAATAACCTGTGCAAACAGCATAGACACAGTTTTCAACACATATACCCAATCAACAGATTCAACACATATGAAATATTTTTGTGCAGTTTACAATGAATCGGTTCATCTATTTCTACAAAAAGCTGTTCATTCATGTTGCATCATATGATGGCAATTTGGGTTTCTTCTGTCTAGTGCATATAGAAAAAATTGCATGTTTGTTTCTAGAAGTGTAAAGAGCACCATAAAACTTGAGTAAAAGTACAGACCTTACAGAGAAATGTACTCCATTGCACATTACAAGTCACCAACTCCAATAAAAATTGAGTAAAAGTCAGAGTATCTGATTTTAACAGTGTTTTGCTTGATCTGAATGCAGGTTTAAAGATGCACTCAACACCAAAGAACCAAAGACATGTTTGCCAGTGGAAAACAAGAAACAGTTGATTTGCGAGGAGAGCGATCATGTGTTTATTTTTTAAGATCGGAATAAAACTGAACCTCAAAATTGCAATAAATCATCAAGGTTGACACAACAGCCTCTTAAACATCTACAAACTCTCAAGTGTTCAAAAAGGGCTTAAATTATTGAATATAATTTAAAAAGGTCTCTTCAGTATAACAAATAAATAAAATAATGTTAAGTACAATTAAAGTCAAAGTCTTCTTGCACTGCACATGCTGGTTTCGGCCTCATCTCACATATAACACACTTATAATAATGCACACACATTGGGTAAAACACACAAGATACAGTACCTTCAATGCCCTGAAGATGGCGATATCACTTCTTCTGTTGCAGAAATAAACTGCTGCAGAAAGTTAAGTGTCATGCGAAATGTGACCAGCTATTGCTTTAATCTTCAGGAAATGTATTGGAGTAAAGAGAACAGATACTTATTCAAAAATGTCGTCAACTTAAGAGTACAAGTTGTGAATATTCCTGATACTCAGAAACTACAAAGCAGCCAAGAATATAGTTGAGTATCGTCACTGATTACATTTGCTCAAATACTTTACACAGCTGTTTGTTTCTAAGATATATCGACCCATTTCCTTTGTGTCTTTTTGCTTTCTCTGATCCAGGATTAGTGCTTGTCATTTCTCAAGTCAATGATGAGTCAAGAACAAAGCTACAAGGAAGTAGATATTACGAAAGAAGACTAACTAGTAAAACAAGTGTTCGTGAACTTGCTGATAATCTGTCCTCATTACAGAACTGCACAGGTATGTTTCTTTTACAAGACGATTTGTAGATTTTGTAGATACAATAGATTTCAGTATTCACTTTTTGCATGGTATGATGAATTTGTGTTTCTGTTATATTTCAGATCATAATCATAATTTCAAGAGTCTCAGGACTGAAACATCTGCAATTCTAGTTTGGAGAGCCTCTAGAAAGCTGCTAAAGAACATCAACGCCGTTTTTTTTTTTTTTAAAACATATCGCCTTTAATAATAAATCATAACTAATGTGTGTTATGAAAGTATTTGCATTTTGGTGCATTCATGAAATCTGTGCATATTTTGGCTTTAAATCCGGGACAATTGCTGGAGCCATCCAGGTCTCTTGAACAATTTCCAACAGTGATGTTGGTCTGCCAACTTTTCCCACTTTTCCAGTGAATGATTTTTAGTGAAGAGGAAATGTCCCTAAAGCCAATGGCAGTGTCACATGCCGATAAGCCCTTAAAAAGCCCAGAAAGCCTTGCAGTGCAGGACGACCACCTCTCCAGTTTGAAGGCTTTGACTGAGAAGCTGAAGCTCGAGACCGGAAAGCCGTCTTCCCTGGACTGGAGAGCTCAGCTGGAGGAGATGCTCGCCCAGAGCCACAGAGTCTCGGAGACACCGGGTGACACGGACAAACACAAAACATCAGGTCCTCTTCAGCGGGCCAAGCCGTCACTGGAAGCTGGTGTGATCCATAAAGGGAGGCAACCATCAGGGAACAGACTGGGATTTGGAAGTATAGACCAAGCATTGGAGTGGCTCAAGAAAGATCTGGTGAGTTTTTCATCTTTGTTTCTGTTTAAATGAATTATAAACGGGTATAAAACTGCTTTGTTGTATTTGTGGGGTGGAAAAAAACATATTAAACAATAAACTCATACATCAAATGCATAAAAGTGTCTGTATATAGTGTGCATTACCAGTCAAAAGTCTCTTCTGTTCACCGAGGTTACATATATTTGATCAAAACCAGTGGAACAGTAATATTGTGACATATTGTTAAAATTCAACAGAACTTGAATTTAAAAGAATATATATATAAATAAATATAATATTATATATTAAAAAAATTATATAATTTATTATTGATGGCAAAGCTGAATTTTCAGCATCATTACTCCAGTATTCAGTGTCACATGATCATTTAATAATCATTCTAATATGATTTGCTGCTGAAGAAACATTTGTTCTTATTATCATTAATGTTGAAACCAGTTGTGCTGTGGAAATTATACATTTTTTCAGGATTCTTTGATAAATAGAGTAAAAAAAAAGTTCAAAAGAACATAATTTGTAACATTATAAATGCCTTCACTGCCAGTTTTGATCAATTTAATGTCATTGCTGTAAAAAAGTTATATATTTATAATATACAGTATATAATAGACACAAGAATATTAAGCAGCACAATAAAAAAATGTTTCTTGAGCAGCAAATCAGCAATTCAAAGGGCATTTTTGATTTATACATATAAATCTGAAGCATTCTTTTTGATTTACCGTTTTCACAACTTTTAGTGCCATTGTGGTGTGTGAATAAAGGAGTTGTTTACTTTTAAATATACTTTTGCTGATAATTTACTCACCCCCATGTCATCCAAGATGTCCACGTCTTTCTTTCTACAGTCGAAAAGAAATTAAGGTTTTTGATGAAAACATTCCAGGATTTTTCTCCATATAATGGACTTCATTGGGAACCAAATGGTTCAAAGTCCAAATGAGAGTTTCAGTGCAGCTTCAAAGGGCTTTAAACGACACCAGACGATGAATAAGGATCTTATCTAGGACCCTTCAAGTCATGACTCGAAAAAAGATTTGTTAATTTTGATGAACGAGTTCGAACAGGAGAGTCACGAACGCTCATCACAGAACAGAGCAAGGCGAGCATTTGTGCTTATAAAACTTAAACTTTGTTATTTATTTTTTAAATGATCGATCGTTTCGCTAGATAAGACCCTTATTCATTGTCTGGTGTTGTTTAAAGCCCTTTGAACAGTTTGCACTGAAACTGTCTTTTGGACCTTGAACCGTTTGGTTCCCATTGAAGTCCATTACATGGAGAAAATCCTGGAATGTTTTCATCAAAAACCTTAATTTCTTTTCGACTGAAGAAAGAAAGACATGGACATCTTGGATGACATGGGGGTGAGTAAATTATCAGCAAAAGTTTTTTTAAAAGTGAACTACTCCTTTAATCAGTTCGGCGAGGGAATCACTGATTTATATACTTGTGTAGCCACCAACTGGTGTAAACAATGTAAAGATCAAAATACATCTGCTTTACAGCAGAAACAAACTTTGTTGCATTATTTCCTGTTATCTCTGTAAAGCTGCGTTGAAACGATCTGTATTGTAAAAAGCACTAAATAAATAGTGACTTGACTTAAAGTGCCAGGGAAAGTTTTAACAGTGTTTCTCTAATGTGTATTCAAGCTTCAGTAACTGTTTACCTTCTTTATTGCAGGCAGAGATGCGTTTACAGGACCAGCAGCTCGCACGTCAGCTAATGCACCTGCGCACTGAGATTAACAACCAGAGAATCGTGCAGACGTGTTGCCAACATCGCAAGATGCTGAACGATGCCACGTTTGAGCTGGAGGAGCGAGACGATATGTCCGATTTATGTGACGCTCCCATGTCTCCTGGATTAGGCCTGTCCTCGACACTCAAGGTTATCGGGGTCACCAAGATGAACATCAACTCTCGGCGGTTCTCCCTGTGCTAACACCAGGGCACAGGGGACTGTCTTTTTATCTTAAAGGGGTCATGACATGGAATTGAGGTTCACTTATATAACTAAATTTTTATGGCACAAAAACGTATGTGGAAAAATGACCTTTAAGGCTACTTTAAGGCTTTTCAGTAAATATTATGATTGGCTAACATCACTGCATAGTAAACAGTATGAACGCCCACTCGCTATTGCACATGAGTAAGTGTTTTGGAAACATTATCCATATAAAACCGTCATTTACAGACAAAGCATTATTAAATCATTTCCTTACGGTTTGTGACGCATCCAATACAGTTGGATAGTACAGCTTCATCTTTTAACAAACGTTTCTTTGCAAACTCCATTACACTGTGCCTTGTATACAAAACAATCTGCAGTCAGATGCTCAGAACAAACATATAATCAGGGCTTGACATTCACTTTTTCACTCACCAGCCACTGTGGCTTGTGGTTTTGCAGTTACTAGCCACTCAGCATTTTCACTGATAGATATAGATATTTTTAATATTATCTCGTATATTAGGCTGCTGTCACTTTAAGAACTGACGCACAAATCCATTATACTGTTACACATTAGTTTTCTTTCTCAACTGTTTACGTTCACATCTCATCAACTCGCTGTCGGAGAGAAAGAGACGCTGGTATTGCGTATCAATTCTGCTGAAAATGAGTATCGGAAGCATTTCAGATATTTCAGTATCGGTATGTATCTAAAAATCTATATTTTGACAACACTACATTGCCCTATTTTATTTTAGATGCTTTTATAAAAGGCTAAAATTAGGGATGCACCGATATGAAAATTTTGGCCGATACGATAACCGATAATTCTTTATATTTGAAAGCCGATAACCGATATATCGGCTGATAAACTTAAATCCAAATTTGTATCTAATTTTGAGAGCCTGATAACAAAAATAAAAGTCTCACAATTAAATCCATACTTTGCCCTACTTTATTTCAGATGCTTTTATAAAAGGCTAAAATTAGGGATGCGCCGATATGAAAATTTTGGATAACCGATATATCGGCTGATAAACTTAAATCCAAATTTGTATCTAATTTTGAGAGCCTGATAACAAAAATAAAAGTCTCACAATTAAATCCATACTTTGCCCTACTTTATTTCAGATGCTTTTATAAAAGGCTAAAATTAGGGATGCGCCGATATGAAAATTTTGGATAACCGATATATCGGCTGATAAACTTAAATCCAAATTTGTATCTAATTTTAAGAGACTGATAACAAAAATAAAAGTCTCACAATTAAATCCATACTTTGCCCTACTTTATTTCAGATGCTTTTATAAAAGGCTAAAATTAGGGATGCGCCGATATGAACATTTTGGCTGATACCGATAATTCTTTATATTTGAAAGCCGATAACCGATATATCGGCTGATATTTATAAATCCAAATTTGTATCTAATTTTGAGAGCCTGATTACAAAAATAAAAGTCTCACAATTAAATCCATGTCCCTCACGCACAATTATAACGATGTTCTCATTATAGTGTTGTTGTATAGCTGATATGACAGATTTGCGCTGAACTTGTCTCAGCTGAAGGGAATAATACATTATTTATCGGCTTTAATATATCGGCCACATTTTCTTACCAGGCCGATAACAATAACATTAAAAATGAACACATATCGGCTGATACCAATATGCTGACCGATATATCGTGCATCCCTAGCTAAAATTGAAAAATGTGTATAAAATTTTACCCGCCAAAGTGGCTATTAGTGACTGCGCTACACGCCACTGCTGAAATCCACCCGCGATTAGCGAGTTGGCGGGTGTTGATGTCAAGCCCTGCATATATTCCTCTGACGCAATCTGTTACGCCATTAAAAATAAAGCAATTACTTGTTCCTGACTCTTGTATCCTTCTTAAAGGGTTAGTTCACCCAAAAATGAAAATTAAGTCATTAATTACTCACCCCCATGCTGTACCAACCCCGTAAGACCTTCGTTCGTCTTCGGAACACAAATGAAGATATTTTTGATTAAATTTGAGAGCTGTATAACTACCACATAGACTACCTAAGGGACTGGCTCTTGACGGCCCAGAAAGTCAATAAGGAAAATGTTTAAATATCCCAAGTGACTACCGTGGCTCAACTATAAGTTTATCAAGCGACGCGAATACTTTTTGTGTAACAAAAAAACAAACAAAAATAACGAGTTTATTCGACTATTCCTTTTCTTCCTTGTAGGCCAGAAACGAGACTTCCTTAGATTTCCACGACGCATGCGCGAGAACTGAACTGATCAGTAGTGTAAGGAGATCGCAATTCTCGCGCATGCGTCTTGGAAATCTAAGGAAGTCTCGTTTCTGGCCTACAAGGAAGAAAAGGAATAGTCGAATAAACTCGTTATTTTTGTTTGTTTTTTCGCACAAAAAGTATTCTCGTCGCTTGATAAACATATAGTTGAGCCACGGTAGTCACATGGGATATATAAACATTTTCTTCATTGACTTTCTGGGCCGTTGGTACAGCATGGGAGTGAGTAATTAATGACTTAATTTTCATTTTTGGGTGAACTAACCCTTTAAGAATGACAAATGAGCTGTTTAAACACGGCTCGTCAAAGTGAATGTTCCTCTACGCTGCAATTTACTCTTCCATTTGCCCTGTTGTCGGCAGACTCAAGCATGAGGAGTTCGTCAGAAAGTAAAAGGACATCTGTATACTGTATCCAGTGTAGACAGCGTCAGTGATTATAATGGTTTCTATTTGCTTTTGATGCGACTCGGTGCTCGAATCCAGTGGAGACAAGTGTCATGACTGAACGCCAGTTAATACCAACGGTGTGATGATTCACCCGAGATGACCGGCATGCACAAAGCTGCATTCAACTATTTAACTGTAGCAAATGGGCAAGTACCGATCTATCTGGGTTCCCGTAAATGAGCTTCTCGTTCAACTTGTCTCAGTCAGACTCCGCATTTAGCACTCAGCATCAAGTCGCTCTTCTTTTGCATAAAGTAAAATAGATCTGAACTTTGTAGCGTCAAATATTTGTTGATGTTTTTGCTCTGGATGCAGGCATATGTAAATATATTTTTGTATGTAATGAGGAGAAAATTTAAGCTATTAAAGTTGCAGGATGTTTTAATGGTGAACAGATCTCTTATTTGTCAAAAGATCATCGCAAATTAGATTTTCCATGTTATGGCACCTTTATTAGGATAAAGGTATTTTCAAAAAATGTCTGACGTTGTGCTTTTATTGCCTTACAGCCAACAAGAAAAATATTGATTTCAACTTGACTTTAAAAACATCTTAATCATGTGTATAGTCAATGTAATTTGTATTTCATATTATGATGTACTTTTGGGGCAAAAAGTAGATTTTAAATCTACAAAACAGAAAAAAAAAAATCATCAATTTAGTGAGTTTAAGCTTAAAACAAGAAAAAAAATATAATAAAAAAAAATAAACTCAATTCAAAGGGAAAACAAGATTTTTTTTTTTCAGAAAGCAAGACTTAATATCATGTCAGTTTTCTTTCCAAATAAAGATTTCTTGATTTAAGAATGTTTAGCAAGAAAATCTTTTTTGCCATGTACATATCAAATTCTCTCACTGATATTCTGTATCTTATTGTGCAACAGAGTGAGATTTCAGTTTGTAATGCCACATGTTCACAGGACACTATTGTTGTGAAATAGGTGTGTAATTGTTATTCTTCAAACCTCTCCCTCTTTGTGCTTTTTAACCTGTTTGCTCAGTCACCACAGGGTAAGGCATATAGTGAAGACTTAAGCTGAGTTTTAGCATTAGTTCTAACACGCATTGTAACAAAACCATCCACAATGCAGGAAACTACATCGTGGAACTTCAGATTTGGGATAGTCATTCTTGGAGACTCGGCTGTAGGGAAATCTTCTCTCCTGCATCGCTTCACTGAAGGAACATTTGATGAATCTTCTCAGTCTCCTCTAGGAATTGATTTTAAGGTGCATAACATGAACTTCGATCCTAATGTTGTGGTCAAACTCCTTCTGTGGGACACTGCGGGCCAGGAAAGATTTAGGTGAGTTTTTGTCAACTAAACGTACCCGATATTATACAGGAATAGTTTCAACTGATGGTACTCTGTGCTTTTTGTTCTTATTCTGCTCACTAATTCAATTTTCTTTTTTTCATGACATGTTTCAAGTTTATGCGAAACCTCTTTCCTAACAAACTAGGAAACCAGATCAAATCATTAAAGGGAAACAGAATTTAACTAAATCAAAACACACTGTACATAACCATGAACCTGGCAGGTATTTCTCATGAATGTCAGGTTGGGCAAGTTGTGTCACAATTTTAATATGTTGTCAATATATTTTATAATAAACTTTTCTATTGGCCACAATTAGTTTAATACTTTTGTTTCCTTTCAGTGCTTCCTTAAATAAAAACCAATGTATATGCTACATTCATTGATTCAGTTTATTTATAAGTTATTGGCTCTCTCTGTGGAATACTTGATTCTGATTGGTCAATTGCACCATCCAGTGGTATGTTATTCCCAGAAGTCAGCAGTGCTGTACATTTGCTCACTGTAAACCCGAATAAGTTGGAAAAGCTTAAAAAAAATTAAGTTGCCTAAATTTAAAAATTCCAAGTTTAAGTATAATACTCAAACATTTCAAGTTAAGAACAAGTAAAATGAATGAGTACACTATTACATACATCTAACTTCATATTTTCATGTAACCTCAATGACTACGTTTACATGCAGCCAATAACCCGTTCAAAACCGGGATATTAGCAATAACCCGGTTGCGAGCGGCCATGTAAACACCGGCAATAACCTGAATATTGCTCATATCCCGGATTTTAAATACCTGGGGTAACCCTTTTCTAACCCGATTTTTTGGTCATGTAAACGCGTATCGGCATATCCCCATAGTGATTTGTGTACTGCGCAGTATACCAGAAGTAAACATGGCGAGACCTGGCGAGACACAGCACAGCATGCAGTGCAGCAAAACAAAGCATTTTTCTCTCAAACCAAGCACCACTTGTCACCATGATGGTAACTATCCTAAAACCAACATTAACAGAAATTCTTCTAGAGTACCATAATATCAATAAAATCTCCCACTTAACACTATTCTTGCACAAAAAAACCAAACATTATATTACACATTACATTAATTTTAGCATTTACTCCTCCTTTCGAGCATCATGGGCAAAGCATGCTGGGAAATAGAAATCAGTTAAACTTAAAGGATTAGTTCACTTTTGAAAAAACTTTTGCTGATAATTTACTCACCCCCATGTCATCCAAGATGTCCATGTCTTTCCTTCCAACCCGATCTCACGACCAAGTCGTACGAATTCGACGAATGATTAAAAAGTGGCTAATTCGTAACAATTCATACGACCTCACTCGTACGAATTAATACGATTTTGCTAAATCGTACATATTTTACGAATTGGCCAATTCGTATGAATTCGTACGAATGACCTACCCCTTACCCCGCCCCTAAACCCAACCATCACATGGGTTTAGACAAATCGTACGAATTAGTACGAGTGAGGTCGTACGAATTAGCCACTTTTTAATCATGCGTCGAATTCGTACGAATTGGTCGTGAGATAGTGTTGTTCTTTCCTCAGTCGAAAAGAAATTAAGGTTTTTGATGAAAACATTCCAGGATTTTTCTCCATATAATGGACTTCAATGGGAACCAGACAGTCCATAAGACAGGTCCAAAAGACAGTTAATAACAGTTTCAGATGCAGCTTC